AAATTAATACAAATAATTCAAATCAATATTAAAATTAATAAAATGAGGTAAAAAATAAGTAGAAAAAAAGTAATGATTAAAAACATTTATAAAAAAATCAATAAATAATAAAATCAAATAAATATTTAAAAAATTTAATAATAAAAAAATCAATCAAATTAAATTGAATAAATCAGTTGAACAAACTTAATAAAAATAAAAAGGTAAAAATTGAATTAAATAAAAAATTAACAAAATAAAATCAGTTGAAAAAATTTAATAAGAAATAAAAACATCTAAAAAAACTAAAACAAAAATAAAATTAAATTAAAAATAAATAAAATGAAAAAAATCAGTTGAGAAGGTCAGTTAGTTTCAGTGTGATCTTAAAATAATAAAATAAATTAATTAATTAATTAATCAAATTTAAAAAATGCGTGGACTTAAAATAAAAATAAAATATATTATAAAAATGTACAATTTTTAAAATAAAATAAAAACAAAATAAAAGAAAGTTTAAAATAAAAGACAAAAAGTAAATCAGATAAATCAATTGTGTAAATGTAATTAAAAAAATTTATTAAAAATAACAATAAAATAAAACTTAATAAAATAAGAGTTGAAAAAATGTAATAATGAATAAAACATGTAAAAAAATGTAAATTAAATAAAAAATATATCAAATAATATAAATCAGTTAAAAAAATGTAACAAAATGTAAAATATAAATAATACAAATAAATAATAATTCAGTTGAAAAAAATTTAATAAAAAAATGTATAAATTTTTTTTTATAAATAAAACAAAATAAAAAATAAAATCAAATAAATCCAGTGGAAAAAATGTAAAAAATAAAAATAAATAAAATCAATTTTAAACTTAATAAAATAAAGTAAAAAAAAATAAGTTAAAAAAGTTATGATACATTTTTTTAAAATCAATTTATAATAAAATCCAATAAATATTGTATTTTCACATTTTACAATATATAATATCTTGTTTAGTTTGACAGGTATTTTAATAGTACAAAACTGCTGTGGTCTGTAATATAATATATAATCTAATATAAAATGCACATACCATGTTAACATACAGATGATAAAACATGATGAACTAAATATGCACACACTTAAACACACACTGCAGAAGGTAACATATGAAAATATGTATTTATTTATACTTCAGCCGGTAACTATGGAAACATCAAAACATCTCTGAATCTGCAGTAAAATCATTTGCGTTCTCCGTCAAACTGCGTCTGAAGTCAGGATGTTTCTTGCTTTTATGACGGTCATAAACACTGAATTATTGTTGGTATTTTTTCTGTAACTATGGTTACTGAGGGATAATCCAGATCCAGAGTCAAAACACTGACAGAGACTTAACACACACTTACGAAAACACACAAACACACACACACACACACACACACACACACACACACACACACACACACACACACACATATATATGGGTGAATCATTTTGACCAACTATATATATATATATATATATATATATATATATATATATATATATATATATATATATATATACACTGTTGCGTTGTTTGTACTGTTGTAGTGTTTGTGTATTGCTTGTCTTGTGTTGTCATTACATGTTTCTACACTACAATAATTGTTTATATGACAGTATATTCACACAATACCTGACAGAAGTCTTGTGTCCTCTCCATGTTTTAGGAACACAGATAATATCTGCTCTTCTAGTGGCTGATCTGGTGTCAGAAGTGTCTCTATGAAAGGTGAAGGCCTCTAGATTTTGCTGATTTGAGCTCAATAAATCTGATCATGTCTTGATGTTGACTGATTTGATGAGGACAGTGCGCTCTGACTCTGCTCAGACTAAAGTCTCATCACTGAACAGAAATAATGTCCAGTATAGAATATAAAGTCCTGCTGCAGTGGAGACAGAATGAAGATTGTGTCTGACTCCATCATGAGCTTGGAGGACTGCATCCATACATCTCTGACATGACTCACATCACTGATTAATAAAGTCATCTGGAATGAAGAAGAAAGCTTCAGCAGGATCCCAGAGTTCATCAAGAGTCTTTGTGTTCATCTTCAACACCTCCTCCTTCATCAGCTCAATAATGTTGATGTCTGGTGACTGGGCTGGCCAATCCTGGAGCACTCTCTGCTTTCAGGAGCTTTGATGTGGAGGCTGAAGTATGAGCAGGAGCGCTATCCTGCTGGAGAATTGTCCCTCTCCTGTGGTTTGTAATGTAATGGGCAGCACAGATGTCTTGATACCTCAGGCTGTTGATGTTGCAGATCTCTCCATACTGAATGACCCCAAACCATGACTTCTCCTTCACCAAACTTGACTGATTTCTCTGAGAATCTTGCTCCATGCTGGTTCCAGTAGGTCTTCTGCAGTATTGGTGGTGATTGGGATGCAGATCAGCAGATGATCCAGCAGAGAAATCCACCTTCTGACACTTTTCAAGTGGAAGTTATTATTTGTTGCTCTTCCACCTGAGATCCAGCACAAGACTTGTGTCAGGTAGTGTGTACACTGCCAATAAAGCAGGGCGTTTTTGTTCTGCAGGCTGAGATATAATGAAGCGTTCTGCTCATTTATCCTCATGATAAACACCGGCTTCATTAACGCACACACACACACAGATGTTTCTGAGCACGGTTATAAAAGCGAAGCGTCTAATGAGCTGCAGATTGTCCAGAGGGAGACGCTGCGTCCGTCTGACCTTTACCACGACTGAACGGATGAAAATATCAGACTCGGCTCCGTGTCACTGAGTTAAGACTGTGTTTATACAACATCTCAGGCACCGCCGAGGAACTGTTTAACCTGTCATCGCTATGGTTTGAGAAGTTTGCTTACTGCTGTCCATTTCCTGAAAACGTTTGTTGAGTTGAGCTAATGCTGTGGAGTGTGTGCTGTGCAACTCTAATAGACTCCAGTGTGTGTGTGTGTGTGTGTGTGTGTGTGTGTTTGCACTTGGTGACCAGTGATCCAGTGATTTCTAAATTTACTTAGACGTGTATTTCAGTGCAGACAACACAACAAACATCATTTAATGTGTACATTATTCTTATCGCTTCAAATAAACACATATTCCAATTCTGGGCATCACGGTGGCTCAGTGGGGAGCACAATCGCCTAACAGCAAGAAAGTTGCAGGTTCGAGCCTCGGCTGGACCATTAAGCCTGGTTTATACTTCTGCGTCAGGTGACCGGCGTAACCCACAGCGCATGCAACGCGCGTGGCTGTGCATTTATACTTCTGCTGCTGTCTCTGTTGGTCTGCATTAACACTTCTGAAGCACTAGTGGGCAGTGAGGTGTAAATGTTACTCTGTGTCGAGTTTCTTCTCTGCTGTTTTGCTTTTCCTGAACACTTCCGGGATGTACAAGTGGCTCAAACTCGCTCATTCTGAGGCAGGAACCGGCGGACGTGCAGCAACTTTAACCATGAGGTAAACACAGAACAAAACTTTCCATCCGGAGCTCCTTCACGGGACTCCATACTTGTAAACAATCGCTCCATCGGGCTCGCGTCATTCGCGTGGCTCTTGGTCCCGCCCAGACAGGGTTGTTCAGTTTAAGCTTGCGCTCTTGTCCTTTACGCACTAAACTCCTCCAGATTCCTTCTTTTAAAGGGTCACGAAACACCAGAGCACATGTGTTGAGCTGTTGACAGTGGTATATGTGTCTCACACTGCTATAAACACTATTAAGACACCTATATTTCACTAAAAAGTGTAAATTGGTTGTTTTTGCGTTATTTCAAGCAAATTCGTACTTCCTGTTTGAAACGAATTGTTGAAGCTGCGTCACGGCCATGAGATAATAGCCTGTATTCCAGCGTGCAGACTGGACGTCTGAGCCAGAGTGTGTCTTATTACGTCTTACAGTGTGTTGCATTAATGCATGAGTAAGGCTTGGTTCAAACCAATCAGCGCGCTCTATTGTGCTACTTCATTAATATTCATTACTGTCACAGTGTTTAGACGACAGAGACGCCACGTTGTGTTGGCAAAACAAGCGTGAAGTGTTGCTTTTATAGTTTGCTGCAGTGAAGTTTTGTTTTCATTTTCTCTCTGTGAGAGCGCAGCTGGAGTCACGTGTGGATTAACAGTGTACGCGACGCTCGACAACAATAACTTACGTGTCTAAGGAGGATTATTGTTTACCTGAGAGCTGTTCTCATCTGCAAACGCTGAGATCCGGATTCGCTGCTCGTCTCCTCTTAATAAAGACGCGGCTCTAGTTGCTGGTGATTGTCCTGTCTCTACAGATTTGGTAAGTGAGCGACCAGTGCTCTTTGTTTATTCAGTTTGTTCGTATCGAATTAAGTTAACTATTGCACCGAGTGTAAACATGTTAGCACCACAACCAAACTTAAACCTCGTGTAGGGTTTTCACCGCATTTAGTGACCGGAATAACACACGTGGCTTTCTGACACTACCTGCCGTGTGCATCTAAGTTTCCGGGAAATCCTGAGTTTTTTTTTCTCTCATTCGCCGTGCGGTATCAAACATTGCATGAAAAATACACGCTTAGAGCAGCTCCTCCAATCAAATATCTCGTTTGTCGCGAGGGGCATGAATGAATTCCCTGAATGAAAGAGCCAAACTGCAGTTTAAGTCCACCATTTAATCATTTGGCAAATAATTCGACTACAGATGTCCATGTAGGTTAAACAACATCACTTTCTCCTGTGTGTGTGTGGGTGTGTGTGTGTGTGTATTTTGACTCTGAACCTCGCGCGTGCCCAAATAGACACTCCCACACCATGCCTCTTTTCTTCCTCCGACACTCCCCCCTAAACAGAGCTGGACACGCCCACTTTTCTGAATTTTTCCAAAGTAGAGGTGTGAAAACACCCTGCTGAAACGAGGGGTTTCATGGCACTTTAATGATGCTCTGAAGGGGAAATATCCACAGGTCTTCCTCTCTTTCTCTGAGGAGCATTGTGTTCACACACTTCACTCACTTTCTCTCATATCTGTGGTCAAACTGGCGATCCTCTGCCCATCTCTGCTCCTAAAGCACTAGCGCTTTCCTCATGCTGCTTTTGAGGCAGATCCTCATCACCATCACCTGTCATTATCTTTACACCATCAGGACTCCAGCAGTTTACCTGATTACTGCGCTAAACTGAATGACAGGTAAGGATGTATATCAACAAATGAAATGAAGTTGATCTAATATTGTGCGTTCATCTCGTGTACAATCAAACACAAGTCAAAGCATATCTGGAAATCACTGCTTTCTTTTTTATTTGTGTTTTTTGCTGTAATTCGGACTCTAACTGACCTTTCTCCCCTATTAAATGAGTGTATTACCTGAAGAAACCCTTGCATCCCTCACAGGTCATGGCGTTGAAGTGGAATCCGGTGGCTTTGTCTCCGCACACTCCACAAATGCGCGGCGCGTTACGGTCAAACTCATCCTGACCCGTCGCAGACGTGCTCACGGCCATCAGATCCATCACTGCACACACACACACAGAGCAGCAGAAAACACACTTAGGCACAGAAAACAGCAGAAGACACACTCACAGCTCATCCATATTCAATGCTGAACACACTCCTGATTGGCTGAGAGACCCCACACACGCACCAATCCGTGCAGAGCGTCAGCATGAGGCTCTACATTTATGCAGATGACAGGTGCTAATGCAGGAAAAACATCAGCTGCTGATTATGGAGGATCGAGAGACGGATAACAGCACAACGCATCAATAATCCAGCGGAGCGGTAAAACGTATATCATTTAAATGACAACCTGTGTGTTACACTAAAAATAAAGCAGTAAGTGTAGCAAAAACATGCAATTAATAACCAGAAAAATTATTATAATTATTTTACTCGCCGGCAGCTCGCTCTCTGCTACTCTACATGGTCAGCCACAGAAGCTAAGCAGGGCTGAGCCTGGTCATTGTCTGGATGGGAGAAAGCTAGGTTGCTGTTGGCAGTGGTGTTAGTGAGGCCAGCAGGGGGCGCTCAACCTGTGGTCTGTGCGAGTCCTAATGCCCCAGTATAGTGAAGAGGACTTTATCTATCAGATGAGACGTTAACCTGAGCTCCTGACCTGCTCCCCATATCAGAACTGTCTTCATCACTCAGTCAGCTGGTGTGTGGTGTGTGGTCTGGTGGAATATGGCTGCCGTCGCCTCATGCAGGATCAGGAGATTCCCCCGATGTGTAAAGCGCTTTGAGTGTCCAGAAAAGCGCTATATAAATTTAGGGAATTATTATTATTATTTATATTAAACTACTATGAGAATAACCCAGGTGCAGATTATGTGCTTCATTCAGTGTGAAACGCTCCTACTGTTTAAACACTGTTTTACACCACATTCACTGCCATCCGGAAAGCCGCAGCAGCAGACAGAGCTTAAAATAAAACCAGCACACTGTTAGAAAACGGAAGTGAACTGTGACTCAAATCAACACCAGCACTCACTCAGTAGCTTGAACTCTTAATGTAAAATAAATTCAATGTATATGAATCAGTCTATAAGCCATACCCAGGGCCAGGAGGAATCTGCGGAGGTGTTTGGCTATTTCTGCGGAGGATTTCGGTAAAAAGATTTCTAAGGATTTATTTTGGAAGTATCATAACTAAAACCGTAATATGTGAAATAAAAAGTAATGCCCTTTTGACTTTTATTCAATGTTTAAATTGCAAATCTAATTAGATTCAATTTATTTGGTAAACAAAGCAAGTCTCTCATATAGGGATGTAACGGTATCAGAATTTCACGGTATGGTAATACCTCGGTATGAATGGCACGGTACGGTATTTATTGAATAATTTACAGGAAAAACAAAACTAATGAAAAGACTCGAAAAAAGTGCCAAAAGTGTTTATTTAGCTTAGCACTGAACATATCAATGACATACAAATCAGCCGTCTATCTGTAAGCTTCCAAACAGGAACTTCAATTTTTTTAATTTTAATAACAAAAAATATTAAACCATATAAAAAAATAAAGTTTCAATTTAGTATTGTTGAAAACTCATCACATTCAACATTTACTCACTCACTCACTTAGAGGAAAATGATCATATAACTATAATCTGGTTAAAGCTGGGGTCTCTGGGCATGTCCCCTGCAACAGAATAACCCCTCTCATTTGGGACTGAGGTTTCTGGGACAGAGATATGATTTAGCCCAGGTTGACAGCAGTGGGTAACGTTGTGCATTCTCTTTCCACCACTTGAGAGGACAAGCCATGAGTGAGATAGAGGTCTCTTTGCTGTACAAGTCAATAGCCCCTTTCACACAGTGATACCGGTAAATATCTGGAAAATTTCCGGAACGACTTTACCGGTATGTTCAAAAAAGCGCTGTTCACACAGGCGAGGACGTTACGGAAATTTTCCGGAAAAGAGCATTCACACATCCATTCCAAAATACCGGTAAATTCTGACACCATTCACCACAAATGAGCTTTAAACGGCTGCGCTTGTATTTGTAAACATTTGACTACATCACAAACTCTGTGGATGATCAATATTGTGAAAAACTTTCGCAGGATCACTTTCACATGTCGAGATGTTCATAATATGTGCGTGTGCAGGCGCTCACAGGCTGTTTCACAGGCACACGAACGTAAACAAACAACGGCTTATCATAAGCATCTTATCGATGATTATTTGCACAGTTGGCATTTAGATGAACATATAAACGTGATCTGACTAACTTCTAGCAGCTAAATGTGTCTGGAAAAATATTCAAAGGCTTTTATCCTCACAAACCGCGCGGACGTAAATGCTTCTGACTGTTGTGATTGGCTCAAGCAGACGTCTCACGTCAGCACGTTCTAGACGTGCACGCGCTTATTACGGGAATCTTCCTTCTGCATTCACACAGCGCAGCATTCCGGCAAATTACCGGTAATGTTACAACTTCTCTTTCCGGAAAATAGCCAGAACGAATTTACCGGTATTTTCAAAAAGGACCTGTTCACACATACGACCATGCAATTTTCCGGAAAGGTCTGTATGTGTGAAAGGGGCTAATGTCTGCATCAATCTGAACAGTGTGCTGTGTTCTGCAGTCCCCATGACTGTTATTAGTCGTATTCCCCGACTTATATTTCACCACAGTCTGGCAGTGCCTGCATACCGTTTTTTTTCTTTGTCTGTCACCTTTTCTCCTTTCTCGTATCTTTTTAGAAAGAAAAAGAAATGCTTCCACACATCCATTTTTTAAACACAATTTTAAGGACAAAATAATTAGCCCTTCAAGCTTTTTGTTGTTGTTGGATAGTCAGAACAAACCACTGTTATACAATGACTTGCCTAATTACCCTAACTTTACCCTAATTACCCTAGTGAAGCCTTTACATGTCACTTTAAGCTGTATAGAAGTGTCTTGAAGAATATCTAGTCTAATATTATTTACTGTCATCATGACAAAGAGAAAATAAATGCATTATAAGAGATGAGTTATTAACACTACTATGATTAGACATATGTAGAGGAAATCTGCTCTCTGTTACACAGAAATTGGGGGAAAATAAACAGGGGGTGAATAATTCTGACTTTAACTGTATATAATGCATGTTTATTTAACCAAAACCAGGAAACATACAATAATTTAAATATATTTGCATACATTTTTGTTCCCCTTAAATTCTATTATTCAAATTTTTTTCTGGATTAATGATTTATTAAACATTAAATAAATAACTATTAAACTTTTACTAAAAATACTTCATTAAAATAAATAAATGCTAGTTTAATAAACACGTTTTAATAGTCTAATCAGCTGAATCAATAACAGCTTTAACTAATTAATAATACTGTTAATAATTTATAAGAACACATTATGAGGAGAATGGTACAGCATTTTATTTATTTATTTTCAGAAAAATAAACGAAAATACGGAAATGAAAAACAGCGTATATTTATACTTTATAATTTATTTAACAAATATTTTAAAATAATAAAGTTTAGAAATCTTTAACTATTGGAATAACGTAATCTCTTAATGTTTATTTTCTAGACTTATTATTTAATAAATAGATAAAAACACATTTAGAAGACATTTATTTTGATTAACCTTTAAATATGTAATAAAAACAGCAACATTTTAAATTGTTGATAAATTTAAATGTATGAAAATACATAGATTTATTATGATTTATTATTCATTCATTTACTTTCCTTCAGCTTAGTCCCTAATGAACCACCAACTTAAGCATTTTACGCAGCGGATGCCCTTTCAGCTGCAACCCAGTACTGGGGAACACCCATACACACTCATTCACACACACACACTCATACACTACGGTCAGTGTAGTTGATCAGTTCCCCTATAGCGCATGTGTTTGGACTGTGGGGGAAACCGGAACACCCGGAGGAAACCCACACCAACACGGGGAGAACATGCAAACTCCACACAGAAACACCAACTGACCCAGCCGAGACTCAAACCAGCAACCTTCTTGCTTTGAGGCCACAGTGCTGACCACAGAGCCACCGTGCCGCTCTATATTAATGATATTTAATGTTTAATAATTGCATTGTCAACAATATCAGCAGCAGATGAACCGCTCATCTCTACATGAACAGATGATCATGAGCGAATGATCCAATCACACAACAGATGAGCGAAGAGGAGATCCAATCATCAACTCCACGGGTTACACCACACGTCTCCAACTGAAGGTGTGTGTTTGAGCAGATTCACAGCTGTGTGTGTGTGTGTGTACGTGTGTGTGTGTGTGTGCAGAAATAATGAATACTGCAATGAGCTGAGCTTCAGTTACAGAAGAGCAGAGGTCAAAGGTCACACACTGATGAATACAGGCAAACACACCTGCTTCATGTGTGTGTGTGTGTGTGTGTGTGGCTCTTCCTGGAAGTGGAGTTGTTTTTGCACAGCAGAAGCAGTGAACATACTGCAGCAACACACACTCTCACACACAGACACACACACACACACACACGCAGGATGTTGTGTGTACATCTGCACTTGTGTCACTGATGCTGTGTGTGTGTGTGTGTGTGCGTGTGATGCTATATATATGTGTGAGTGGGTGTGTGTGTTTGTAAGTGTGTGTATGTGAGTGTGACTGATGCTGTGTGTGTGTGTGTGTGTTTGTGTTTGTGTGTCTGTGTGCGTTTATAAGTGTGTTCGTGTGATTGATGCTGTCTGTGCTTGTGTGACTAATACGGTGTGTGTGTGTGTATGTGTTTTTAAGAGTGTTTGTGTGACATGCTGTGTGAGTGTGAGTTTGTAAGTGTTTGTGTGACTGATACTGTGTATGTGTGTGTGTGTGTTTATAAGTGTGTTTGTGTGAGCATTTGTGAGTGTGTTTTTTTTGTGCCAAATGCTGTATGAGAGAATATGTGTGTGTGTGTATT